TTAGTGTGATCAAAGATACAGTTTACAAAAAATAAGGGTGACAAACGAATACACAGGCCACCTGATTGTAAATGGATACTGTGGCCTATAGACATCTACATCTATCCTTGATTAAGCAAAATGCAGATGTGTTGTCACCCCTAAGGACTAAGATGGAATGCCTCATTACCAGTAAAAATGGTCTCCGGTTCTCTACACCCACACAACCACAGAAACATAGCAGCATTACTATTTTACACTGGTACTCTGCGAGAGCGTGGTCTTTCCCCAGTAGAGCCATCGGATAGGCTCTGTATAGATTTCTATCTTTATTTAAAATAGATTATTTTTATCAGCACATTAAATTCCACGTTCAATTCCTTTGCACTTCTACCCTTCGGTTTGCCTTAATCGTCACGGTTTGAGTATTTTACATGTGGGATAAATAAGTTGGTATACCACCATCTTTCAGATGACATGAGATATATGTCTAGTTTTTTTGCCATAGTCTCCTCTTTACAATACCGACATGAAATGAGTGATGGATTTTCTTAAAGTAAGTCATTTCTTATATTTTACATTTTGCAGTAACAGAAGAAAACAAAATGGATACAAATACAGAGGAGGAAGCAGCAGTTGTAAAAGCAGAAACCGTAAAGGGAACTGAACCAAAAGAAGTGAAAGAAAACTTGGAATCGTCTAAAGAAAGTACAGCAGAAGAAAATACAAACAATGAATCACAAGATGTGGAAATGAAAGACCCTGTAGACAATTCTGAACATTCCTAGTAATGAGCTATCACTTGACCAACTGTCTGTAGAGAAACTGTCGTTATTAATATACAAAAATAATATATAAGGTCCAGGTGTAGAAAAACATAATAATGTGGTTAAAGAATACTTTTTATATCAATAAATAAAGTATGCAACAGTCCAATGAGTTCGCTTATGAACTTTTTCTTTTTTTTCGGTACGTACGTGTTAGGGCGGAGAGGAGGTGGCCTCGGTTCCCTAAAAAAAATTCTAAACGATACGGTTCGCGCTCTACGCCATGTTTTATAAAATTCCGAAAATTCGTACTTCTGCTCACATTTGTGGTCATCACGTCCTCAGTTTAATGCCTAGATCGGATTTTTTTCTTTTAATGTGTTCCCTAATAATGATGTTCCTAAATTAACCTTAAAAATGTTCAACTACTATCTATGGGTAGTATTTTACAATACGGCACTAAACATAAGTTTAAATTTTTTACTTTATTTATCTGCTAAGTTTGAGCACCTGTGGTGAAAAAAAAACGTATGGAATCTGTGTGGCCAACCATTTAAAAAGTTTGCCTGCATCATGAGGATTCCAAAACATAAGCATACTATGTACTTATTATCATTACTTACTGAGCTATAGGCGTTAATGTGTAAAAGTAGGCTTTTGATTACAAAATTATTGGCAGATAGTTTTTTTAACATTGCATGTCTTTATTAGGTAACTATATCTGTCACCCTTGAAAATTTTACTTTACTATCTGCTCGCCATGTTTGGACTAATTCTAAGCTGTGTGAGCGAGACAAATGGTGCTTAGAATTAATGTGAGTAAAAAGGATCAACAGATTCTCCATTGTAAGAATTCGTGTTTGGTTATTGTTAAATATGGTTAGTGCGTATCTCGACCTTCTCGACATCGCATGTGCTCTATTATTTCGGACTCTGGGCTACAAGATACTATTTCGGAAAAAACGGAATTTACTCCGATTCGAGATTCTGTATGACCGCCTGTGCGTTCGGAATCGAGGAACGAAAAAAAGCCGCTCCGAACGCAAGTCTCATAGATTTTGTATGAGTCGCAACACATTCGTGAATTCCGTACGGAACGCGCTCAGTGTTCGTCGCACGACCGAAGCGAGTAGGTGTGTTTATGTATGTTTAACATTTAATCTTAATATGTATATAGCTTTTCGTAACCTTTCATCCTATTTTGTTTAATAATTCATCGAAAGGGTTTACAGACAAGAAGACTCAATGGCTAACGTCTCTCAACTGAGCCTTATTATTCCGAACGGAAATAAATGTATGTGTGTGATATGTATTCACGGAATCCCGATTCGGGACTCCGAAATGGAATTCCGTATGTATGTGGCCGGCCTGACTGTCGTAAGAGGCGACAGAAACAAACCAGAAGTTGGGCAGAAGTCTTCATAATAACAGCTAGAAAATAAAAAGTTTTATACGTGGTAGAACCATGCTGCAGCTATATTAGTAGTATAGTTGTAGCACGAATGAGCCGGTTTTACCGGGGAACGACCACGCTCTCACAGAATACCAGCGTAAAATGGCAGTTTGACGTTTCTATATTTCGTATGGTGAGTGTAGAGAACCGGAGACGGCCGACCGAAGAGACATTCCATCTTAGTCCTCACGGGTGATGACGCATATGTATTTTGATTCTTTATTGAGGATAAATGTAGTCTATGGGTCACAGCAACCACTAACAATCAGCAGGTGGACTGTGTGCTTGTTTGTCACCCTAACCTATAAAAAAACTGCGGTTACCAACCCGCCTGATTAGTGTAAACTATAGCATGTATCCCCTTAGGAGGCAGTGTTTGGAGATCACCAGTGAACTTTAATAGGCTATTATGATGCTGATGATGAAGCTTAAGAAAAAAAATCTTTCCCATACGTTAACACCACACTGTCATATATGTTTGCACATGAGCCCCACTAAATGTTACAAAACATAGTCCGGATCACTTGTATCCGTCTACTTCCTGAATATTTCATCAGATCTAGTAGGTCGCCCTTTCTACAGCATACTTGTCAGTACGAAGCAACTCAAGAACTTTCTAACTTTACCAGTATTCGGTTTTTCGAGCTATGGGACTACAACAGTTACATCATGTTTTGCTGCGAATTTTGTCATGCATTACCTTCGTAAATAGATCGCTGAGCTTTCTTAGAAACACGGTAGTGAAGGACAACGTATTGGTTCCGTCAGTCGTCCCTACCAACGTGCATTAGGAGTAAATTTTTTTCCAAGCTTTTAGGTATACCAGACGAAAATATTGTATTGTACTTTTACAAGATCAGTCCGTGTTGGTTGAAGGTTTCTTTAATGGTGCTTATAGACCGACCCAACAAACACTAAGAAACACATTCGGCGTTGGCTGCCGCACGTTCTGACTGGAGGCGGGGTGCTGGTTACTTTAAAAAATTATTTTCGATACCGAATAGAAAAAATACCTTAGATGTTATTTTCTTGATGTTTTTATATTTATTAAACTGTGTGACATCACTTTGTTCTTGTAAACGGTTTGCTTTCACCTTCACGAAATATTTCACTCTACGTTCGAAAACGCCACGCCTTCTCCAGCGTTCGTTCATTGGCCTCAAGAGCCCGTCCACGTCCGAAATATTACCGCAAAGCTCTGGATTACCGTCTAACACCAACGGATAATCAACGCTGGCGTTCGCCACATCGTCCAGATAAGGTCAACTAAAACTTATGTAACCCATTCGTTTGCATCCGCTAGCCATGGTTGCCTCACACATACGCCGACCGCAACCCCCCCCCCCCTCCCCGTCTCTTATTATTGTTTTTGCGCAGACGGAAGTCCCGTTGTGCCAGCGCGGCATGCAACTAATATTACGTTACTTTTTATGAACCCGCGATGACTTATACAACAGTCATTTATTATATTCTTATTTAGAGATACCTAAAAGTAAAACTAATATTTTAAATGAATAAAACATTTGTTATAAAAAGTTTATTAAAGCAGCAATAAATTAAAACTACAATTCACAGATCTTTGTATTTGTATTTTGTTCTTTTGTAAGAGAGACATTTGTGTGGAATGTGCGTCATTATTTTTTTTAATGTTTATGTTTGGACAAATAAAAAGAACAATACATATTTGTTTTATTAAATTTATAGAAAAATAGGTTTATAACAAAAAAAAAATAGATAGCATAGTAGTGATAAAAAAGCAGAAGCTAAAATTGTTTTAATCTGTTCAATTTTCTGAATTGGAATTTAAAATTTATTGTTAACAATGTGGTTTTTTTTCACAGGGTTGCGATAACAATGCTATACAGTAAACGAAAACTCGATTGTTAATTACTATGTACTCCTATAACCTTTACCTTTATATCCTGTCAAAAGTCTACTGAGCTGAACATGGGTCTCCCCAATAGTTGCCACGCTTGGGTGGCGGTTCGGCAGCCTCAGATTTTTTTATTTACTCGTTATTAGGAAGATGCTGCTGCCCATCTCCTGGTTTGTTTCCCTCTGTTGCCTGTTACGACATTCATGGGACGATATGACGTAATGTATATTCTTACACCGCCACTACACACTCCAATCACATCTACATAGGCGCCGAATATATAACTTTCTCGTTTTTTTTTAACTCGTTTAGTAAAGTAACAATCGCTCGTCAGTTAAAGGACAGGTTAATAAACTACGTTAAAAAAAATTGTCGGTGATTCGACATCCCGTGGGTTATCTCTTTATGATCTCGTTATGGCCATCTCTTGTTTCAGTTTCCTTCTGTCGCCTCTTACTACACCTACGGAATGATTGATCGGCTACACGGCAAATAGGGCTCTTTACGTTCACGAAATTGTCCACCAATGAAATTTCTTGTATTAAACATTTCAACGAATCTATTAATTGCCTATACCAGGGCTTCCCTAACTGTGCGTCGCGGCTCTATCCCAAGGGCGTCGTGAAGCGTCTACAGATTGGCTGTGTCGATGCGACCGAGTCGAATGAGAGGAGGGCATCCGTCGCAAAGAAGTGGCAAATTCTCAAGGGCGTCACAGTAAAAATAAGTTTGGGAAGCCCTGGCCTATACCTTGTTAAATATATTTTTGGCCCAAGGCCATACAATATTTTTTTTAAAAATTACACTTTCATTTTAGACTTGTCAGTAAAATTCAATACTTTGATGTGTAGTCTAAATTATTATTAATGAATATAAATATTATAATAAATATAAGTAAACATTAAATGTATATTATGCAGTCCGTTTAGTCTAACGTAAATATCCTTGACGCAATATCATCAAGCATCCAGTCCATTCCTTCCAGAAGATTCTCGCCTGTGACTGCAGAACAGCGGATTATACGCCAGTGATGAGTCTTGATGCCGTCAAGATCTAGGGCCTGCAAAACGGCAAATATGTCTTAAGTTTTAAATATCGTTATAAAAACCAAGTATATTTAGGTGTACCAAGTGGCGGCATAAGAGAATCCACTATCCCATATCATCCCGTGGTGGTATAATAGGCAACACGGGGAAACTGAAACAGGAGATTAGCAGCAGCATCTTCCTGATGAATTAAAATGATAAAAAATGCGGTTGCAAGCACGCGCCTGCCACTCGTGGCAACTATGACAAATATTCCCCCGAGGCAATCTTTGGAGAAGGCTTATGTTCAGCAGTGGACTTTGATAGGCTGTAATGATGATGATAGTGCATATGATGCATGTATGTACACTGAAGCATTTTCAACCGACTTCAAAACAGTTTTTTACGTGGTAGAGCCGTGCTGCAGTTATATTAGTAGTAGGTATAGTTGTAGCACGAATGGGTTGGCTCGATCGGGGAAGGACTACGCTCTCACAGAATACCAGCGTAAAATATCAGCTAAAAGCTGCTGTTACGTATGGTGAGTGTAGAGAACCGGAGACCCTTTTACTGAAAACGAGGCATTACATCTTAGTCCTCACGGGTGACAACGCATCTGCATTTTGAATCGTAATCGAGAAAAGATGTAGATGTCTATGGGCCGCAGCAACCATTTACCATCAGGTGGACTGTGTACTCGTTTATCACCCATATCTAATAAAAAAAGGGCAGTAGGTTTTTAATATGATAATTCTTTATCATGTTGTTAGATTTCAATTACTCGTTTTTGTAAGAAACATGTCCTCCCTTACCTTAGCGATGGCCTTTATAAATTTGGTCAAGATCTGGTAATGGGATTGGATCCATGAGAAAACGATCAAACTATTTTTGCAAAGGGATCTGCACATTGGCTGAATAATTCAGTACTATGTCAACCAACTGATGAATATATTCTTTTCTACCGACTTCAAAAAGGAGACGGTACTCAATTAGACTATGTTTTTTTAATGTGTGTTACCTCATAACTTTTTACTGAGGGAACCGATTTCGATGATTCTTTTTTATTTGAAAGCTGGTGCTTCATATGTGGTCCCATATAAATTTGATCAAGGTCTGACCAATAGTTTTTGAGTTATTCCTAATAATTTATATTGAAACCGGTTGTACAAATTTTTAATTTTAAATTATTAATTCTTTGAAAAGTGAAGTTCTACTTTTTTGTAAATTTAATTATATACAGAATAAACTGATGGATTTATTGAGGAATGACTAAATGCACTTGGAATACGTATGTCTTTCATATCATAACGAGAAATAGACATTTTTACTGGTATACAGCCGATTCATGCCATGTTAGTATGACATTCTCTCTGCATTTTGATTGTCAAAGATAAATATAGGTGTTTACGGGCTATCATCTGCTCATCAACTCACTGTAAATGCTACTCAATTTTAAGATGACGTCAAGTCTCGTGTTATCTCTATCATTTTTAGTCAGTGACTGTAACACCATGAAACTTGACATCCTAAAATTAAGTAGCGTTTGAATATTTGGTCATTAGTGATGTAAAATCAGAAGCCTGAAAGATTTCATTTTGACATACGTCACATCTGTAAATCTCCAAGGCTGTAGCCAAAAATATGGGTTTAGATGGAAAATTGTGAAAGAAGTGATTGGTGGCAAGGTTATCGCCTACACAATCATAAACCAAATCGTCGTTTACGACATGATTGGCAAGTAACACAGTTGGCACATTCTTCTTTTTGTTATGAGTTCCAGACCAACATTGGAGATCTATAGTGTTATAATGCATACCTCTCGAATCTCCTGCAGTGTTAGGGCACCAGGCAGATCAGATTTGTTTGCGAGTACAAGCAGTGTTGCTCCCGCAAGTCTCTCCTCCCTAAGCAAGGAATGTAATTCACGTGCGCAGTCCGCCAGTCGCCTAGCATCTGCACTGTCTACCACCCACGCCACCCCATCTGTACTTTCGAAGTAATTTTTCCAGTATGATCTGAAATAGTATTTATTATTAGTGTCAGTTAAACACTGAACTCATTTGGGTTGAGCGCTGGGTTGATACAGGCATTGAAGTCTCTTTATAGAGACTAGTGCTTGTGTCAGCATCAACGGTGCTTACTTAGACTGCATTCATAAAGGTGTCAGACAGGGCTGTGTGGCTTCCCCGTGGCTGTACAACCTATTTATGGACAGTTGTTTGAAAAATTTGAAAGTAGAAGAATGCGGGTTAAGAATGGGTGAACTAACCGTCAAATGCCTTTTATACGCCGATGATCAAGTCATACCTACGTCGTCGGCGGCCGAGTTGCAAATGATGGTTGCATTAACGATCAGGACATTAAAAGAAAAGGGAATGAAAGTGAACGCAAGTAAATCGAAAGTGATGGTTTTTGAAAGAGAAGAAGGTAAAACGATATGTGAAATAAGAATAGAAGGGGATTTGGTCGAGCAAGTAGATGAGTTTGTGTATTTGGGATATGTATTTAGCAGGGATGGTAGATATGATAAGGATATAGAAGGACGAGTGGACGCAGGAAATAGAGTGAATGGGTGCTCTACATCCTATTGTGAGAAGTCAGCATGTGTCCAAAAAGGCACGTATGGCAATTCACAATGCTGTGTTAGTCCCTACTTTAATGTATGGTAGTGAAAGTTAGGTGTGGCAGAAGAAGCACGAGAGTAGAATAAATGCTGTAGAAATGCGGTCATTAAGGAGTATGTTAGGGATAAATCTGAATGACAGAGTGAGAAATTGTGTGATAAGAGAAGAGTGTGGTTTGCAAGATGATGTTGTGACCAGGATTAAGAAAGGAATGCTTCGGTGGTTTGGTCATGTAGAAAGAATGAATGAGGAAAGAGTGACAAAGCAAATTTATGTTGCAGAGGTGAACGGCAGAGTCGGGAAGGGACGTCCTAGGCGAAAGTTTATCGACCAAATTGGCGATATATTGAAGATGGGCCAAATCATGAGTACCTTTAACGGACGATCGCGTATGCGTAGGTATATGGATATGGAGGAAGCGAGAGAGGTGTGTCAGGATCGTGCCAAATGGAAGTCCATAGTCTCTGCCTACCCCTCTGGGTGACAGGCGTGAGTGTTTATGTTAGTGTCAGTTATGATTAAATGAAACTAGTTTTACTAATTTATCACGTTTTATTAACTTATTTTATACGAGATGCTCCCCGCGACTTCGCCCGCGTGGAATTTATTACGATTGGGTTTCATGAGTTTTAATTTTTTTGCGCGGAACCCTAATTCTTTTCTAAAATAAAAGTAGCCTAAGTTACTCCTTATAACATCAGCTATCTGCCGTCAAATTCCCGTCAAAATCGATCCAGCCGTTTCGGAGATTAGCCGGAACAAACAAACAGACAGAAAAATTTTAAGTCTTTTTTTTTATTAATATCGTATATACTTTCATATGCATTTAGTAAAAAGTCCTGATTTTGATATGACAGACACTTCAATTTTATTTATTTGCATAGACTCCCGACGTTTCGAGTACTTTACGAGAACGGGGGGACTGAAGTATTCGACGTCTCAGTGTCACAGTTAACCACATCCATCTTTAGTTGAAATTATTAATTTTTGGTCCGATCTACACAGAACTAGCTGATAGACTTATAGTATCTATCTTGAAGTCTTGCAGTTATATGCACGGGTCAGAATATAATTTTATTAACCACAGTTAAAGTATTAACTGGAATGAATTTCTAAAATAATAAAGGGAATGAATTTTGCATCAACACCGCGAAGATAACCGTACGAACAAATTATCTGTAGTGTCGTAGACTGTCTATTTTTTTTTTTTGTTCTCTTTATTTGGTCTACAAAACAGAACACAATTTCAACATGCTGACAGGTATTATATAAAACAAAGATTTCAAAAATTGTATTCTAATATATATGTAGACACAGCTTGCACAAAATGTATCATCTGTGATTAACAATAAAGTTTGGTACTTAAAGTTATAATTATATTCATGCTAAACTAAATACCAAATTAAATTAAATTAAGACTAAATTAAATTAAGGCTAAATTAAATAACTATTCAAAAACAATATCCGTAAAAAAGACATCTGATGAAGATGAAGTCAACACATTTCGTCTACGTTACGTAGAAGTTCAGTCCCGAATGTAAATCTCCATAAAGAAGAATTTATACAGCCGAACAACTTGCGTAAGTTGTTCGGCTATATAAGAGATCACTATTCTCCGCGCAGATAAGGGAAATGGTATGGTAATCATGGATACGTCAGATTATAATTCTAAAATAAAAGAACTGTTGTCGGATATAAATACTTATAAAAAGGGTTAGTAACGACACAACAAATAACACACATAAAACAACTAGTGACCTCGTAAAGAAACACTTCGAAAAATTAACTGGACGTAAAATTGATAATACCAACGTGTGCTAAATCACCGAAATTGTATAGGTTACCGAAAATTAGACAAGCTTAATGATCCACTACATCCAATAGTGGGCCAAATCGATTCACCAACTTACAAATTGGCTCAACACTTAGCGAAAATACTCTCACCACTCAGGGGACACACTAGCGCTCATACAAAGGATTTTTACCATTTTGTCAGCAAGATTAAAGACTTACATCTTCCGGACAAAGAAACTATAGTCATTTTTGATATGCATTCACTGTTCACGTGCTTTCCTGTGGAAGACTGCAACTCGATTAAAACTAGAAAGCTGAAAGAAAACAACATGCCCGTAGAATATGTAGTATTACTTAGACACTGCCTCACATCTGGCTACCTATTGTGGAAGGCTTCCTCCTTCCTATTGTAGGTAGCTAGCAACTAGATGATGTAGCGATGGGCTAACTTGTATCTCCCATTGTCGTTATTATGTAGGGCTTTGAGGAGAAAGCCCTCATTACTTCTCCAGTATATCCAATATGCGAACATCCTGGGTTAAAGCCCAGGAATCTATTCCCACCGGCACCAATGAAATTGTTAATTGCAATTTTAAGTGATTTACTACGTACTTGGCGGTGAAGGAAAACATCGTGAGGAAACCTGCATATCTGAGAAGCATTTTCATTTTCTAAGCATTGGGGCAGCGCGTCGGATATTTCCTTGCCCTAAACCCTCTCAGAAATGAGAGGAGGCCTATGCCCAGCAGTGGGACGTATATAGGCTGTAATTTTAGCTTCAAATACAAAATTGTACAAGGGGTGCATAAACAATATAAACTTTTTAGACCATCTTAACTCCTAAATTCTATAATTCAGTTCAAAAAGGAATTTTTGGCAAATAATGCTTTAGCTTTCCTACATGTATTAGTAATTCAGATTCCTGATAACATCGTGAGCCAAACTGTGAATAAAAAAAGACCCATCAGATATTTAGATCCTCATCTTTTACAGTTAGTTGCCATGGTAAAAACCTTTGTTTCAGTGAGCACGAGGGCACTGTGACAGTAAACACCTGTCCACCGAGCTCCAACACGTCAAGAAAGTTTTGCAAGATAACAAGCTTATGGTCCCGCATCTACGCCACAGTGAACGAGTGAAAACGACTACAGTCTAGTGTGTACCAAATGTCAGAAGTGTCACTGACAAGATTGACTACATCTTAAAGCGAGCTTCCATTAAAACACACTTCAAGTCACTGAGGAAGTCAGTTTTTACCATTGGTCAAGCGTAATATCCCTGTGTGAGATTCAGGATACAATCTTGAATGTGAATGTGGGTCTCTCTTACATAGGTCAAATTAAAAAATCAATAAAAACCCGCACGTAAAAGAAAACATAGAAGATGTGAATCGACACTCTGGGAAGTCTGCAGTCTTTAAGCACGTACAGTATCGCCCCCGTCATTACATCAGATTTCAATAACCAGAAATCCTCTAAAAAACTAAAAAGAAACCTTCAAAAAACATCCTAGTTTAATTTGCTAGGGATCCCATAATTAAATTAAATTCCAACCCAAGCATCAACTGCAAGTCTTCAAGATACTATATGCTGGTTCTGCGTAGATTGAACCAAAAACAAAAAGAAAACCTTAAATATTCCAAACGTCGGGAATCTATTTAAATAAAATGAGGTTTGCAGTTGTGAGCGCATCACAAATAAACTACTGGATATATTTCAATTAGGTTTTCTAAGTTTTATTTCTTAGACACGATTTTGCGATGTCTTCATTTCATACAAAGTTATTAAAGTTTTAAGAAACAACTATTTCTATAAGCACTATGTGTTCAGTGATGCATGTTTTCTTGATATATCAAGCACGCCGAAGTTGCAGGTATCAGCTAGTATAAAATAAGTTAATAAATTGTGATAATCTGTGAAACTAGAATCATTCATTGTTTATTTTGCGTAAACATAAGAAGTGATACAAAATCAATAATAATATTTAAAAAATAAAATTTTAAAAATATTCAATACAATGGTGGCCAATAATCGCCACAAAAATTTACCAACAATGCACAAATAGGTATGTTATGTCTAAGAGCCGATTTTTTTATTGTCAGATAAAAGTTCTTCATAGGAAAGTATGGATAAAATACAACAATAAATTAAAAATGACAGTTGTACGAGTAAAATAGTTAAATTTTTTCACTTTTATATTTAGTCAGGTTATAATTTATTTGATAGATAACTTTTATCTGACGATTGAATACCAGCTAAATAGGTTTTAAGCATGACCTTTATTTTCATATTCAAATTGGTGACCATTATTAGGATGTTTTGAAATGTAATGCAAGTTTTATAGTTTACAATGTTTACAGTACTTTTTAACTTTTTTGAATCTCTCTAATAAATGTAATTATTGCACAAAAACAAAATCAGTAACAGTTGCAGGCTGTAAATCGATGCAGATGGCTCAGGACAGTACTTTAGGAGACTTCCAGTCATTTGTATGCACCATAGATTTTAATATATATGTTATGGCTAAAAGCCGAAGTGCAGTTACACCTAGTTCTAGCTGGCTAGCAGTAGTTGGTTAAATTTAGGTGTACTCTTAAATTTATAAAAATATGGAAAAACGTATCAAGTAATATTGGCGACAGTAGATTAAGGCGTGGTTTTTGGGCCACCTTTAAACTGCAGACATTTATTTAATTTATAAATTATGTATGATATATGATACATCAACCTCAATCGACTACACCATGTATTAGCCAAATACACCTACATAGGTGTATCCGCATTTCGGCTATTAGCCTTAACATACTGCTGGCTGCACCTAGTTCTAGCCAGCTAGAAGTAGGTGTAACCGCACTTCAGTTATTAGCCGTAACATATATACTACTAGACTGGCAGCCTTAATACATTGGTAAAAACAGGAACTGTCCTAAATGAAAATACAACTGTGTGACATATTTACTGAGCCAGCTACATGCCTGGGGCACATTCTAATAATTACATTTATATTATTACATATTATAATAAATTAATATTATAATGTTAGTTTTTGTTTTCACTTCTATCACATGGTCATAAGCACACACTCATTTTTTTGTATAATAACAAATTATCAGTAGGTCAGGATAAATTGGGTCTACATTTCATGGACGCTTAAGTATTATATCAGAATAAGCTACTATCTAAAGTGACTCTATGAACAACTTCTCATTTTTGATTGAATACTCTTAAAGAAATTTATCAGGACCATAATCTCTCACTCTTTCAAATCTTCAAATAATAATTTATATACGCAAACCAAAGGAATTTACCATATTATTCATACAGAATACAGAAATTAGAGATACCCTTACAAAGATTACATTATATAAAGTTTACCTTAAAGATTTTTGGCCACCAACATCCCATATGTTCAGTTTATATCCTCTATGCTCCAATGTTTTTATATTAAAGCCCAGAGTTGGAGATATAGTGTCAATTGGTTCACCATTGAACCGCTTAAGAATTGTTGTCTTGCCTGCATTATCTAAGCCTCTAATTAAGTGGTTAAGAAAATTTTGAAAATTACACATAAGATATGTTGATATAGATTATAAGGAAGGTAATTCTAATCTATTATAAATAGTACAAAAAATAAAAGGATACAACATAAGAATCCTCATTTCTTTTTCCTTTTGCCGTAATTTCTTCAAAATAGTTAAAAAACCCATAACGTTCCTAGTTACTTTGTTATTTGAAACCAATTTTATGCTGTACAAAACAATGCAACTTCCAATTTTTTATTGAAAATATAAATTATAACTAAATTTATGAAATTGACGTTTGATCTGAAGCATGAAGCTTTGTTGTTGTTTTTATTATTCGCTCGAGAGAGCAGGCAAAGGAACTATGCCATACAGCCTTGTCTTTATGTATAATTATCCTTCATAGTTCACTGTTTCACAATATGTTGATGCGTCACATTGTGCAGCCCTTGGGAGATTTTGACGGCAACTTGAGCCAGCAAGCAGCTGACAGTTGGTGATGATATCTAAAGGCGCCTATGCAAACAGCTTATCTTGAAAATCCATCACCATCAGATCACTTGGTTCACCGTTTCCAATAATAGTTCACATGTGAAGACAGTTAATACATATAATCGCACCACTTTTACATATCAAAATCCACTTCAAATTATTATTTAAACTATAATACAGGAGCAGCAAACCGCCGCCGATCAAGTTCCCGCCAAAAACTCTGAAGCTTTGACATTGGCAGAGAGTGCTGCCACCTGCCAACTTGGATTTTGGAAAAGACGTAGGACGGACTATAAAAAAAATAATAAAATTGTTTTCTATAGGTACTTACGTAGAATTAATAAAAAATGTATATGAAAAGTGTGTAAATCCTAAGTGTAGGTACTTACTTATACCTTCATCAACTTTAGGACCTATTTGAATTATAACGGTGAAACTTAATCACTTTTTTTTTTGGTAAAACGAAGCTATTGCAAAATGTGTTAATTTGTACATTTTAAACGCATAGAACAGTAATAAGTGTAATTAACTTATTATGTATCAGTTTTGTCTTCGTTTATTAAAAAAGTAAGCCAGTTTGAGCAGTATAATACAAATCCTAAAATAAACGAAGCATATGTGAGATGTAGAGAAAATTGAATAAAACTAATGTCAGAAATATATAACCTAAGTATATAACATTGTAGTCTTTGTGTATAACGAATTTTATTTCACTTATCATTAAAATTGTTTATTAAATTATACATATTTCTATTTAAATATTTAGGTGTTCCTGTGTAGTTGTATGGTTTTATACCACTTTTCGTAAAAAGTAAGCCTGCTAGTGTCAAATGTTTGTGGACAGTCTTTCTCTAATTTTTATTTATTTCACTAAAGGCAAATCGCCTTTTTTATTTTATTGAAATATGTCTCCAAGCCTTGTCTTTCTCTAACTAATTGACCCTATTGAAATTAAAGAATTGATTTTCTAAGAGTGCTCCATTCTTTCGCGCTTTATTTCGGTCATATTGGCTAAAATCCTGAAAACGGAGTTAAATAATACCAATAATACTAAGTGCAGCAGATTATATAAAATTTAGTAAACTATATGAATTTAATAATAAAAATATTACATGGAAAATTGTCTCAAATGCTTCATAGATGGTACAGAAAGTTTTGAAATTGGATCGACCAATATTTAGTTTAAGTCTTAAATACTTCAGTCTATGCCTAACTTCATCTTCAAAGGGGAAACGATTTTTTTATTTGTTTTAGACTTTTAATATAAACATCTAAACATTTTTGTCAAAAGTGTCTTAATATTATTTTGCTAACTTAGTTTACCAATGCTTTCACTTTAATGATACAATACATTGTACCTAATTATAATATATAATATACATACTATATAATAAAAATATTACATGGAAAATTGTCTCAAATGCTTCATAGATGGTACAGAAAGTTTTGAAATTGGATCGACCAATATTTAGTTTAAGTCTTAAATACTTCAGTATATGCCTAACTTCATCTTCAAAGGGGAAACGATTTTTTTATTTGTTTTAGACTTTTAATATAAAAATCTAAACATTTTTGCCAAAAGTGTCTTAATATTATTTTGCTAACTTAGTTTACCAATGCTTTCACTTTAATGATACAATACATTGTACCTAATTATAATATATAATATACATACTATATATTATAATATGTAAAAAGCACAACAAAAAAAAACTCGATTAAGCGCTTGTCGTAAATTTCACAGTACACGAGCGCAAGCAACATGAGTTTGATTCCCACCAGCACCATGGATATTGTAACAATTAAAATAAGTGTCGATTTACCAGTTGTTCGGAGGTTTAGGAAAATAACATTAGCCAACCCACAGGTCTGAAGAATGAAACTGACGCAGTTACAAAAAAAATTAAGAGCATATTTTTTTCTATTAGGGACCTTTTGCTTACGGCTCACGATTTTTGTATATTAGATAGAAACAAATAGGTAGAATTTAGAAAAATAAACAGTGTTGTTAGGAAAGTGACGGGAGAGATAAATACACCTTACCAACCTCCACTTAAATCTACACTGCTGAATAGCTTTACTAAGAATGTGCCAAATAACAATTCCTTAAATTATTTGCCCACACACCACGCTGAACAGAAACAATGATATATTTTTTTTTATTTTACTGCGCACCCAATAACATGTTGTTTACATTTCCTACAGCAGCTAGTTAACGAGCTATATGAATTCTCTTCAACAAGCTGAAAAAATCTGTCGTCGAGCGAGGGATGACTGGACCGAGGTTTGTTATCATCGAGCTTATTATTTCCGTTTAAACTGTCCTTTGGCTCAACACATCTTTACAAAATGCTTCGCATATTTGCTAAAAAGTTGCACTGCCCTTGAAGCCAGGATGTAACTGGAAGTTGTAAAATATCCATACCATTTGGATGATTGGCGGACCACCACTTAGCGATAAAGAAGATGTTTTCTTCCCCGCACAACTTGCTTGTGAAATCGATTACCACCAGCAATTTATCCGGACTGATACGACTTAGGGACCTTCAAGAAAAAAGCCTGCTCCTTTTTAAAAGGCCAGTAACACATCTGCATTTCCCTTGGTGTTGCGGTTGTTCATGGGCGGCGGTAGTCACTTACCATCAGGTGAGCCACATGCTCGTTTGCCCCTCTCCTATATAAAAAAAAATGCAAAAATTTAGTTATTCAATAATCACGTGAGGATAGTGAGACACACGGGGCGGGGCTAGTCTATAAAAATTATTCCGGAACTTTTAATGACGGTAGTCTGGGTTCATTAATTTTAAGCCAGTGAGTACTACTGAATTTACTACCAACCAAACAGCATTTATTTTACTTTTACTTTTCTTTTTTTTTAATGGAAATAACAGTTTTGGGGACAGATTATTTTTTTACGTGCTTAGACATAAAATATTTATGAAATATCTTATCACAATCATAATGCATAATATAGTGTTAGAAAAAACATTCCAAATAAAACAATTTGATGCAATACAATTAAAAATAATATAACACAACAGTATTGAGAGAGAGTTTTTTTTACTAGACATACACGGAACGCATCTAGTAAGTCTGTGGAACGCATTACAGACTTAAAAAACCAAAAACAACTCTTTTTTTACACTAATCGAAGAGAATGAGAATTCATTAAAAACCATAGACAAAATATCCCATCCATCCATGGCCGATTTCGTTGCTGTCAAGTCTTTATTTCTATTTCAATTATGAAGCACCTTCAATGATTTTAAGTGGGTTTATTGTGTGGAAGTGATCGTGTGGCGGCGTGGTCTTGGTGATACGGCTCGTTGGTCGGTAGCACCATGTTCAGCGGAACGGTGCGTGTAAAGGTGTGCGAGGCGACGGGCCTCAGACCGACCGACTTTCAGAAACGGCACAACATGACCTTCGGAAAACCTGGTTAGTCCATACATAAATATAAACCAAAGCACTAACATCTAATTTGAGTGATTATCATGAATTTACTTTAATTCCATAAAATGGACTTCATGTTTTTTGCGCAAGAAATAGGCGTAGCATGTTTACCAAAATGGGTGTTGGTATTATTTGTAAATACGAGATATCTTCACAGATGATCAGCCGATAGACCCGTACGTCTCGATCGACGCCGACGAACACCACCTGGATCGTTCAAGCACTAAACCCAAAACTTTTGACCCCGTTTGGAATGAGACCTTCATACATGAAGTGCACAATGTAACTAGGTTAGTCGCCAATATATACAGGTATACACCTTATAAGTGAAGTACTGTAATTAGATTTATAAGCTAAATATTTTTTTTTGCAGTTTGGGTATTACAGTGTTTCATGATGCTGCCATACCTCCAGATGATTTTGTTGCTAATTGTACCATACCTTTTGAAGATCTGATGCATCGGGATAAAGAAGCCACAGATTTTTGGGTGAGTATACTTTAAAATTTTTAAAGTAACCTGCTAGTAAAATTTAAAACAAGGTTAATTTGGGAATCTATATAATTTATATTTGGGGATATAACATTAAAGATTCCATTAGTAATTGTGATAATTGACTGAAAACAAGCTGTTACATTTCTGCTTCTTTCATTATAATTTTAACATAAGATTTATCTATACACAATATTATTTAGAGCTAAGATTTTATAATTGTTGTAATACTTGTTGTTATTCATAAACAAATTTTGTGAAAATCAATTCATACTGATATACTGATATTACATGTTGTATTGCACATGCTCTATTGTCATAGTTATAAGTTTGTAGTAAACATAATGGACTGTAGAAGTGTACCTTACTTACTTACCTTATTAATTTCTGCTACGAAATAGTAGTGCTTTCACTGCTGTATACAGAGCATTCTATCTTAGTCGTCAGAGGTGACAATGCTTCTGTACCCTTCTTTGTTTGAAGTTGGCTGCAGGTGTCCATGGATTGTAAATAGCCACCATCAGGTGGATCGTTAGTTCATTTATCACTTTTTTTTTTATAGAAGAGCATGTGAACAAGCCAGCTGCTTAACTAATGGTAACTGTTGACTGTAAATTCAACTTAGTGAACTTACACAATGTAAAACTAGTGTTAGTGGGGTGCACAGGTGGTAAATAGAATAAAGTATGTCATCTGTGTAGGCTCTTTCTGCACACCCTACAGAAAAATTTAACTAATGTTATTTAATTG